ACTGCAGCTGGTTGTTAGGAGCAGAGGAGTTTTAAGTGCCTACAAGTAACACTGCAAGTCATATTCCCTCAGTTGCTGCCTCTTCCATAGCTTTTCACACTAATGGCATATTAACCAGGCAAAACAAGGAGATTTACTGGCTGATGTTCCCTTCTCAGTATTGCCAGCACAAGTAGTCCATAAAATGGGCAAATTGAACACTTGCTCTGTTGCTCTTTGCATGTATCCAGCCAAGACATTTAGGCACTCAGACAAAATGGTCCTGGATTTTATCTGAGCCTTGTTGACATGTCACATCACGTATCACCCTTGGAGTCCTCGCTGTGTACACTGGCATCAGCACTGCCTACAGCAAACTGACTTTGGTACGTCTTTCCATGACAAAACCAGCCAGGCTTCTCCTAATGTATGCAGCTAAATGAAGGATTGCTGGTAATCTATTTTTGTTCTTGGAAGTAGATTATGATTTTATTTGGCACGGCAATAGAAGAGCAGGGCAAGTGCTGTGAGCTGCCTATGGCAGCCAGACACTGTGGTCTTCAAGGTCTAAGGTCCTTCCACTGTATGAGGAGGCTGTTCATTGTGAGGGTCTGTAAGTGCCCTCTGAAACTCTTGATGCGATTTCTGCTGAACAAGGAGATCAAAATGTCTTGCTGTGCTGTATTATGAGCCTGTAAGGTTGTAATGAGGGAGTGAAGTTCGGGGACAAGTAGGGCCTTTCTTAAGTTTCCTAATCATTCCAGCATATTCTCAGCTTAGGAAAGGCAGGAAGGCAGTAGCTCAGGAAAACATGCATGCCTCATTTAATAAGCTCCGGATGGGTAGGTAGACTTTACCTTATCTCAACAGTGAGTACATACTAAAACTGTATCACATGGAATTAAGGTGTTTCAATGTACACATCGTTAGTGTACTTTTCTGATTCAGTGTAAACAAGCCCTTAGGTAATGGATCTGGAGACAGATGTAGGATCTTATTTCGATTAGCAATATTAGTAAAGGCAATAAGCTTGTTTCTATGAAAAATATCTCTGCATTTGAAAAAGCAGATCCTCATATTTAAAATCTCTGTGACAGTAGCATGTATGTTAAATTACCTGACTTTCTGGCACATTACTTGCTTTTCCTGGACATATGTGTGATTCACATAGCTTTTGTGTCTATATATTTTCACTGACATTTATCACCTTAAAATGAAAGAGGAATTAAATCTATGTCATAAGCATTTCACACTGTAAGGATGAATGATTGCACTTTCATATTTGTGCACATACGTATGCATATACATATGTGTATATATGTACATGAGACACTGATTTATATACATATATGTCTCATATAATATTTCAGATTTAGGCTTTCCTGGATCAATTGTGTGTGTGTGTGTGTATGCATGGGTATACACAAAACCCTTACTTGTTTTATGATTGTATTAACACATAAAGACATGGCTGAACTAGAGGCAAAATAGTTTATATAGTAAAAATAGATATGTGATGGAAAAGAACACAACCACACCCTGGCAATTTCCCATTTCTTCAAAGTATGACAAGAAGATATCTGCATAGTTCTAAAATGCTGTACAGCCCGACAAGAACAGTGCCATTAACATTTGAATGTCATAAAAAGCAGTTTATGAATATTCACATCTTAGAGGATTTCTCTCCCAAAGGTCTCTTGGTTGTGCAGGGGCTTAATTCAAGATGGTTTCTGTCAAAGATAAAGAACTTGAAACCGGAACAATTGTTTTTCTCATTTAATACAATTTTGACACATCTAAATGGGTGGTTTTCAGACGAAGGTGCCTACTCCTCATAAAGAACTGTGGAAATCATAGGAGAGAGCAACCAAAGCTTGAAAATGTTTTAAAAGGTATCCCTCATACGGGTAATGGCATCATGTCATTGACTACTCATGAGAAAGTATATTAAAAGACTGTGCCACTAAACCTTACCTAAACTTCTCCGCAGGTTTTCATTGCTAAATTAAGAATTCATTGCCTTTTGTGTAGTAGAAATGACCATCGCCTTTCTATATTACATGGCTGGCAAAAAGTGACAATACAAAGTACCTTGCCGAGGAATCCCCAAGTCAACAAACTTCAGAAAATTAGCCAATACACGAGATGCACTAGGAAAAAAGTCTCAGAACTGCCTTGCAAGGAGCAGGCCTTGCATTTGAATTAACCTCCCAAATAACACCTATCAATCTAAGAATGCAAAATGGAAGACCTCATTGATAAAATATTCCTGTCTATTGCATAATACTCAATGCTGATGTATATGTACAAAAATCCTTTAGATAATTACAGCATTAACACTTCCTTGAAGACTTTTTTCCCATATCTGTTTTTAAACAACAGGTCCAGAGTTAAACTTACAATCCAAAGCAGACCTCCCCTGTACTAACTAACACTCATTAGAATTAAACCTTGCTGACACAGCCTAAATAAACTTCATGAATACTGACAAATTTAACGTGATTGATATCAGTGATCAACAGAATTAATGGAAATTAATTATTTTGGGTTTTCTTCGTACTCTTTAAAATGTGATATATTATACCAAGTATGACACATTCTCATGAGAATTACATGCATAGAACTCATCAATTGTTATTCACTACAGTGATCTGGCACAGATAAAACACAGCAAAGGGTAGAAGAATAATTATTTCATTAAAAAAATAATCCATCTCTTGCACAGATCAGGTACCGACAAGGAACCTCCAAGTCATGTTTAAAAAATAATCCTGGGAACTACATTCTTCATGGAGAGAGTAGCAACCTTATTTTTAAAGCTGACGGTTCTTGCTGATTCATCCTCTGTACATTCATGTTAACAGCTGTTTTCCCCCCAGTGGTTTAATTGATTAAAATAATTTTATATCCTAAACCCAATTCATCCCACTTGTATTTAGTTTGGGTTTTCCTCCTTCTTGGTTCTCATTAATAATGTCACTCAAGTCAAAACATTTTTCTCCATTCCTAACAGTTGATCTAATTAAAGGTATCACTTTTTCTACAAACTTTGTCTAAATTTAGATCCCACAGTGTCAAAATTCATTGAAGGTCTGTCTCACCTGAGCTGAGTGCAGGTTTAATCTGAATGTATGCTGTTTTATCATAGCAGTTAGAGATATGCTCTTGGAAATGGGTTAAGTCGATGCTGTCATGATACTCAGATGTATATTCTGCCACATTGCTGATAGCATCAGAAGCTATGCATTTTCACTTTAGTTTAAGAAAGTAAAATATTTTAAATATTTTTTCTAAAAATAGAAATAATTACACCTCTAGTACTTTCTCAAAGTACTTGGTAAAGCCAAGCTCTCTGTTGAGCACTTTTGCTTGCTTGTAGGAATGGAAATGAGTTAATAGAGAATGTTTTCACTTTTGCAGCCTAGAAAGTGACTATTTCCTTACTGATGGGGAATAATGCTCTAGAATATACCTGCCATGTAAAAATGTATAAAAACATCCTTTGATGGAGGAAAACAGGAGATGAAACCTCTGAGTTAAAACATAAAAAATTTATTGTTTATGTCTACCAGGTCTTAGAACATAGGACAGATATAACTGAAAAAAATACCTATTTGAGATTTTAAAAAATACTCTGAAACCATTTTTATCAAAGGAAAATTAAAAAATATCTATAATGTTTCTATAAGTTTTTTAGTGATACTAGTGATATTAAAGTGCAATTTTTAATATTTTGTTTGTTCAAAGGGAAAGGGATATTTGTATAATATTTGTAAAAGGAGAACATTTTAGCACTTAGAACTATATAATTCCTATTGATTGTGTGAGGAGGAAAAAGGCAAAACGTAGAAAAGAGGAACTGAAGACTTCATAAAGAAGAAAAATGGGCAAGACAAAATTATTCTTTTTTAATTGAACTTAAAATTGAATTTCATATGCAATGAAAGAAATATGCATTTGCTCTAACAGATTCTGAAAAAAGTAATTCTTTTTCCCAAAATGAAAAATCTTTTGTCATGGACCATATTTTGCAGATGGAAGACAAAAGGATTTTTTAAACTCTCCTAAAAATGGTCCATGGTGGCTTTTCTAGAAATCAAAAACTCTTTCCCTAAAGTACAGTCTGTCAGTTTAGAGATAGAATAGTTCATCTCACTGGTCTGTTTGCACGTCCTTCTTTCAAAAGGATTTACCTTGTGATTCCAAATATGGTAGTCCATAAAAAATTCAGTTTGAAATATCATTGAACCAACATTGAAGCCAAGAATTCACACATTGTTAGCATTTACTTTTACATTACTGACATTATTCACAGAAAAACACATAGGAAACGTAAAAAATTTATGTGTGCACACACACAACATTGTGCTAAAGACTAAGAGATTTGTATTGTCAGCATTAGCACCTTCTAAGAAAAATTAATTGTCAAAATAGAGGTAAGCCATACAATGTAAAATGATGCAATTCATCCTACAATTAGAGAAATCTGGTTTTATTTAACGTTTGTGTGATGATGGGTCCTACAGAACTAGCATAATTGATTTTCCATATAAGAGTATTCCCAGATCTGATTAGACGTTGGTACAGCATTCTTTAAGATTTCTATTTGGACACAAACAATCTTAACAGCATTAATTGCTACGCTTCTAGGATACAAGAACTTAGCAAAGGCAGTCCAAAACTACCATTGGGGCATAGGCAATGTACTGAGCACATGGCTTATTTTAGGCAACTTCGCAGTTAGCTTTTTCTGCCAACTTCGTGTGTAACTCTTTGTCTTAAACTAGTCAGCAAAGGATTTTTGGTTATGATCTACAGATGTCAGTGTTCTCACATAGTCTGGCTTCATTTTCATTCCTTTCTCTTTGTTTTCACCAGAACAAGATTTATGTGGTGGTATCAGCTGTCAAAACAGACCCTTAGGCTAAGACGCTGCAGTATAGCTTAAAATCAGTGTTAAGGAGACTGTCCAGGAGCAAAGCAGTCCAAATCAGGAAAGGGTAAAAGAACCTTGACATCACCTTTTTGTCTTTCCTCCTCCATATGAAATGCTCCTCCATGTCCCAAGTGTTCTTCAGAATTCACCAGCTCTCCCATGCTAACCAAGGAAGATAAATACAAGGAAAAAGTTACAATATAATGGTTTAAAATAACTCTAAAACATTCCTAACCATGTCTAGAACACAGAATATAAAAAATAGGTTCTGGTGTTACCAAGGTTTTCTCTTGGTACTTGCATTATAATTCATCACTTTCATTTTACTATTTGAGAAACAAAGAAATCAAATGCAGAGAAAATTTATTAGTATTTAGCCAGTGTATATTTGGGATTGTACTGAATAGAAGTTGTTTACTGAGTTTATCTTCAAATATGGTAGATACTTATGATGCATTTAGAAGTTATAGCAACACACTTCTAAAACTTAATTGCCACTGAATTATGACAGTTTTGTGTTAATTTCACCAGTATAAGCTCATCCAGATGTCAACCACATAAATTCAGAAAATGCTACAGTAAGATATTTGGCAAATTTAAATTATGGGATACTTAAAATAAACTTCAATATGTACTTGTTAGAGAAAAAATTAATAATTGCCTCTTTGTGTCTTTCAGGTGGTTATTACTTCCACTAATTATTATTTAATATTTGTATTGCAATCACGCCCAGCAGTTCCACTTCAAATCAATTTGAAATCCACCATTCAAGTCTCTACCTGAGCATTTAATAAACAGAAGTGTTTACCCCAGAGGCCTTTCAATCTATTTCCTGGAAAAGTGGAAACATGCAATCAAAATGAACAAGAGCAGTAAGAATAGGCAAAAGCAGCAATTAAACCCTGTCACTCAGAAGAAACTATGTAGTAATTGTCCAGACCACTTAACTCCTGAGAGACAAACACACAGGTGGCTGTTTCACCAAATGTTCTTTTGATTCAGGTGCATATTGTTGCAGTATTTACCAGTGTTCCTGTTCAAATATGAAAATAGAAATTAAAATGAGAGGAGTTTTGGCTTGATGTCCAGCATTAAAATGTGTATAAAGGATTTGTTTAAATGTTCAGTGGAATCAGATGCATAGTCTTACTTGAAAGACTCATTATGTAACTCTGTATTTTGTCCTTTGTGCACCTAATCTGTAATTATTTGGTAACTGGGATACCATCTCTGGGAATTAATATTGCTGGGGAGTCTGTTAGAGCTGTAATCTAAATACTGTCTTGATATTTATAGCGCATTTAGATCCCTAGGATAACTCCTCGTATTTTCTTAATTTGTACAGATAGTTATATCTTGTCTGTGCACAATGCCTTCAGTAGTTATGCTCCAACTAGCTGTAGTTTCAGCAGACTTTGGATAGGCTTTTACTGTGATAGCTAAAATTGTAACTGAAACAGCATCTTACATTGCAACTAATGTTAACAACTATGGGAGATTCACCATCTGAGCAACAGTAGCTATAATATATATACTATATACTACTTCTCACACCCATCTATTACTTTGCTGCATTAATAAATGTATTGGGAAATTTGCAGTATACATTTCCAAAAAATATTTTCACATTAAAAAGTTGTGATAATTCACATAGGAAAGTGCTGTGAAGATTTGATGATGGAGGGCATCAGTTGTAGAGAGCTAATCACATTAATTATGATATGTTATGTGGTTTATGACACGAATGATGAATCATTTGCAAGAGATTAAAAAAAAAAATAGTAATTTTATTATAGACACAGTGTAGGGCACCGATGCAGGGCACTGTAGTGAGAAATTCTAAAGCTGTTGTCAGTGGGGGTAAAGTTCTCTTGCTTGGCCTTAGTCCAAAGCTGACTCATTTGAAGAAAATGGCTTTTCTGAACAAGAAGAAATAGAAGCGTCTTAAAGTTTTGGGCAATATCTATATATAGACATACAATTCTCTTTTTTATAAACTCTGATGACTACATTTGATGTCGTTTAATTATTTAAATTTAGACAGAGATGTAGTCCCCAAAGTAGGGCTGAATGCTCTGCGAAGACAGACAAGTAAGTAAAGAAACAGTAAGTGAATATTATTATCCTAGTAGAAACACATGCTTCTTTTTTGTATCGGGATACAAGCTGGATATTTGAACATACAATTCCCAAATACAGGCAAGAGGTTTAAAATTAATAACATTATTGTTAAACACAGTGGACTTTTATAAAAATTTGATCATCTCTATGCTTTGTTGAGAAAGATTAAACCCTTCATGCAAACCCTATAAGAAAATAGATAAAGCAAGTAATGATCCTCAATAGGAAGCATCAATGTGAGTTACTGTCAAGGACTGGTAGGGGTTTCAAGGACTTTTCCCATCTAGTTGTACGTTAAAATCAGGGACAGGTCAATAGTAACATGACACCATTTTACCTTACTGTTCAATGGCACTTCTTAGCATTTTGCCAATTTCTCAGTAAACAGATTATCATCATAAAACACTGTTCCACCTTAGTTGGTGGCAGTCCCAGTAGAGTAGCCAGGGATTAAATTAGCGTGAAAGCAAAACTACCTCTGTCCTTAGATATGGTCTCTGCTGAGCACAATTAAGGAGCATAAGGTGAGCAGCATGTACAATTCCACCCTGCTGTCAGCTTCATGTGCTGTGTTATGGCTGAGCAGAACTCCAGGCTCCAGGACTGTTAAAATGGCATATTGCATACACAACAGGTTATCAAATACCCATTTCAAACAATCCAGGAAATTAAACAGAAACTCACTGTTTCTGTTTGGATCATAACTGTACTACTGCAATCCAAACCCAACCGATACCAAAGCCGTGTGACCTATGCACTGTCGGTTTTTCAAGCATGTATTTGTACATGACTCTGTCAGTCAACACGCATTTTCAGTACCATTGTATTGTACTGACAGTGTTGAAATACTTGGAAGAGAAAGTACAGCAGTGTTCCAGGGTTTACGTGAAACATTGTGACAATATGTGCGTCAGTATTTTAATTGTTGTTGCTTGCATCCAAGTTTAACGTAGCACACCCAAACACCAAAGCGTGGGTGGAGGCTGTCAGTTTTTCCCTTGGGTGTGCTCGTTCCCTCAGACCCTTGGTAGCTCCGAATCAGGCAGCACAGGGTGCGGGAGCAGGGGTGGGATGGCCACGAAGGCGCAAAGGCAGAGCCTGACAGCGTGAGCCGGCGCCTCAGCGCTTTCCACAGAGGGTGCGCAACCATTAAATAACGAAGCTGAGCTGTTAACGAGGAAACTTCTCTCATTCAGGACTGAATTTGCCCGTACCTTGCCTGCAGAAGACAAACTAGGACAGGCCCCACGCCGGGCAGCAGCGGGAGGAGCCATTCCGCGGCGGCGAGACACAGCCCCCGCCCGGCGCCGCTCCCGCCTCCCGCCGGCCCGCGCCCGCCCCAGCCCCGCGCTGGCGCCCCCCGCCCCGCCTCGCCCTGCCCCTGCACAGCCCGCCCCCGCCGGGCCCCATTGGCGGCCTCGCCCGTCCCTCACGGCTTTCCCCCAGCTCGGCCCCCCGCCCGGCGCTGTCCGCCCGTCCCTCCTCCCACCCGGCCAGCCTGCCGCGCCTGCCTGCTCCTGCCGCTGCTGCTCCCGCTCCCGCCTGCCTGCCTCCCTCCGCCTCCGCGAGGTCTCGGCCCGGGCTCTGCTCCCGCTCCGCCCCCCGTGCCGCTGCAGTGCCTCCCCCGTCTGGCCAGCGGTGCGCGGCGCCGGCAGCAGCAGGGGCGCGGCGGCTTCGCCCGCGGCCACCTCCCCTTCCCCCCACCGCGTGTTTGCCCGCGACGTTCATTCCCCCCTTCCCACAGCTCCGCCGCCTCCCCCGGCCCCCCGCTGCCGAGGCCGGGGAGGGGGGCGGGAGGCTGAAGCCGGGGGAGAAGGGGGAAGTGTGCGAGAGGAGGCGGGGAGCGAGGGCGGCGGCGGCGGCGGGCAGGTGAGGCAGGCGGCCATCCCGCTTCCCTTCTGCCCTCGGCGGTGGCGGCCGCGCTCGGGCGGCGCGACCCCGGTTGCGCAGCCGGGGGGCATCGGCGGCGCCCATCGCGCCGGGGGGGCGGGCAGGCCCAGGCCAGGCCGGGCCGGGCCGCGCTGGGTGTCGGGGGGCGCTGCGGTGCCGCCGCCGGGCGGGGCCGGCGCGACGTGGGGCCGGCCGCGGGGCAGAGCTCGGCGGGGGCCGGGAGGAGCCCGGCTGCTCTGGTGCCCTCTCCCCGTGCGCACGAACTCCCTCGTCCTCAGCTAAAGCTGCTAACATTCCTTCTCCTCCTCTCCCCGTTCTCTGGCCTCTCCCTCCCTGAAGAAGAAAACTCGATTGGATTTAACTTGGGGTCGGAAGAAACTCCTGCCTGCTGGATCTGGTTTAGACGCCCCGACAGCTAAGGTAAATAGGGAAGGCTTGGGATCAGCAGCAGCAGCAAAAACAACAGAAAAATCCTTCCTCTGGGAAGGGGGTGGAGAAAAAGCAAGGAGTTCAGGCTTCGTTTTATATCCTGTTTTTGGCCTTTATATTTTGTCTCTGTTTTCCGCCTTGGCCTGCACAGTTTAACTGCTCATTGTATTTCTCCCCGTCTCCCCTGTGAACCGAGGCGCTGGTTTCATGGAGGCAGGGAAAGAGTCTGTGAGACCGAAAGTTTTTAATCTCATCGGACACAGAAGTTTCTTTGTTCGGTCCGAGAAGGCACTGAGCTGAAGCTGCTCGACTGCGTAACTGCTTCTTTAGCTCCCTCCCTTCCAAAACGTTTGGTAACCCTGCAAGTACAATTAACTTATCGAGAAATGAGAAAGTCATAAAGGAGGCAATATATTTTATTTAATCGCAAGCTCTTGAGGCTTCATGCTTAGGTCTGCCTTGTTTTCTGGAATATCAGTTAGTGTCTGGCCGGACTTCTTCAGGATTGCTCTTAAGTTTCTTTATAAAAATAAGTCCTCCTGGTCATCTGTAAATGTCGTAGTTTTTCCACCTCCGATTGCTGCAGTCACCCGTCTTCTTCCCCTTTACCCTCTCTGTTCTCAAAGCGGCGAAGTGGACTACTTGTTTTTCAGCTTGCATAGCAGAGGTCTGTCCTGCATTTTGATCCTGGCAAAGTTCATCTTAAGAACCTTCATTTAAAACAAAATACAGAGCAAAACCAAAGCAGATAGGTAGTTATCTGACTTTTTAAAGTGCGTGCAATTGAAGCTGTTAATGTAGCCTTGTTTGGTTTTGGTGACCACTTTCCCCTTTCTAATTTTTGAAAGAACTCCTTTTCGAAGCTGCTGAAGGGCAAATTAAATGCGAAGTTTTAGCGTAGGATTTTATACCTCTAGCGCTTGTTACACCAACTAGATGGAAGTTTACTTCTCATGCACCAAAGAGACAATTATAGGTTAGTTCTTTTGTGAAGGCAAGGAGTTTCTCATGTTGTGAATGTTTAGAACGAGGTAGAAACCATAGCTCTGGAATGTTTGTTCCTGTTTGTGAAACTCACAAGCAACATGTTGGTCAGAGAGGATGTGTATGCTTCAGTCTTGCCAATGTGTGACATGTATTGGTATTTGGGAGTCTTGGACAAAGTAATTTCTGTGCAAAATGTTTAACACTCCTACATAGGTAGATCTTTAACATCGTGGAGTAATTTAGTGATTTAAGAAAAAATAATCCAACTTGATCTGTTTGATATACTGTAAGGAAAAATGTTAACATATAAATGTGTAAAAGAGGTTCAGTGGCTGATAACAAATAAATTGCAATTTATAGACTTATCTTTCCAGGCAGCAGTAAGGGTTATTCTTAGGCATCAGAAAGATCTGGACAAAATAAATGGCAGTGAACTTTGCTTTCCTTATGTGGCTGATGCTTGGCAGAAAGTCTGAATAGAGTAATCCTTATACAAAGAACCATCCCTTTCCAGAGCAATGTTTCAGTCCCAATAATGACTTGAGATTCTTGAGGGGAGGGTGAGGAGTTGTAGCTGTGCATGACAAATTTAGTTGTAAACCAGTATGTTCATAATCAAGGCAATTTTGTTTCTTTTCAGGCCTTTTGTGTCTCTCATGATGCACTTGATATTTTTCAATGCCATGTAGAAGAATAGTTCCTTGTAGTGGAGGCACAACTTTTTACGCTAGTGTTTTGTCACCATGGTAGCTATGGATGAGGTCCTTTTTTAATGATGAAAGTGTAATTCAGTACTGCTTACAGCTCATGGTTATATCATTGAATGCCATTATGTCATTAACACCGTTTGGGAGTAACATGAAGGGATGTGTTTTTTCTTCAGATCAACATCACAACTAAAAATCAGTCTGACATTGGTATTTTTATTATGAACAAAATTATTTAACATTACACATGGTAGCTCATGTGCTTGAAACAGCACTTTCATAGCTGTGTGTTGATGGCTTGGGGAAACGTTCTTTTTACCTGGTTCTTATTCATGAATTAAATTAAGCTTGAGTAAACATCGCTAATTTTAAGAAGGTATGCTTGCAATCAAAGAGGGAGAAGTTGCAGTATATAGCATACTATGGAATGTGATTATAATTAAGATGATTATTATATTAGTAAAATATGAATATATCTGTCTTATGCATAAGCTGCATAGTAGACAATGCTTAGTGTAAACACAGAGCTCTGTGGGGTATCAATTTGCACCTCGTGTTCATATAGAATTGATAAAGGGTCTCTGTGGAGAAAATACTGAGGATAGTTTCTTAGTGTATTGAGTTGGTGGTCTCAGAAAACTGTTACGATTTGTTCTCGGTGGAATTTGTTGAGAGTCTTTAGTCCCAGTCATTAAGAGCCATGCTTGGAAGATCAAAGCTAAGGAAAGGCTTGCACATGTGTAACATACATTATACCTCACATGTTAGCAGTAGGTCCTAGAAATAGAAGGGGATGGGAGTAAATTCGTCAACTGGGCTTTCCGGTAGGGCTGTAATGAATCACTGTCTGTCTGCTCTGCGTTCTTGTTTTGTTTTTGTCCTTCCTGCTCCTAAGCAAAAAGGAAAACCCTTTTGGGAAAATGTTATGTAAAGATCAAATAGTTAGTATGTCATATCTTCCGCAGTTTCTCCCTATAGAATAACCTGATATACTGAAGAAGTGCCTGACATTTAATCCACGTAGAGGAATTAGAAGTCTAACCTTTTCCAAATGAGTTACTAGTGAAGTTGGCGGAAGAGTTACTCATACGGACATCAGAATAGTAGACAGTATTCCTGTGTGAGTGTGCAAATGTTTGTAGTGACATTTGAAATAGAATAATTAAGAAGATCATCTAGAAAATGAAGATTTCTAAACATTGCTCTTTTACCTTGTCAGTTTTTGAGTAAGTTCAACAGTGTGTCAAAAGACACTTTTCGTATCAGAATGAAAACATTTGAAGATAGCTTAAGTAGTAAATAGTCTGTATTTAACCATTGGTAATGGGTCTTTTTAAACGATTTTTTTAGCTGTGGAAAGGTTACTTCACTGAAATACAGCTTTCACATTAAACTAAAAATGCAGTGTTTGGATGTTTGAGTTAAATCTTAAAAATGTAAGGTTTCAAAATAAGGATGCTGATTAGGAGAGATTTATTGTATCTCCCATCTAATTAAAATGGAAAGAATTGTTATGCTGGAATCAATAGATTTTTTCTTGTATAGTAATCTCAGCATAATTAGGCTTTTTCTGCTGGCTTGCCTTCATTGTTGCCAGATGAAAAATTGTTTGCACCTGGTGGGCTAATGCAATGCTTATTCTTCAAAAACCACTGGCCTATGGAACCGCACAACACATTCTTTAGGAAGAACTGGAAAACAACCAACCCAGTTGTGCCAACTTTTACCAATTCTCAATCAGTCAGCTATGACTTTGGCATTGCTGACCACCAGGGACCACCAAAGAGACTCCCAGGACAGAAAGACACACGTGGAAAGGGGAGGGAAAATATGTTAATGATTTTGGGGAAATGGTTATCATATGTACGTTTATTCCAGGAAATCAACGAATATGTATGTAAAATATAGTATATAAGCAGGAGGTTTTTCTCAGCATGCATGGTATTTTGGAGGAGATATCCTCTTGTGCATCCAGCTACGTAAAGAATGCCTGCTTCTTAATACTGCCTTGGTGGTAAGGAGTTTCTTATTTTTACTAATTTTTGGTAATAGTTTTGATGACCCAGATGGGACCTAGTATTGAATTTCAGTGGATACAAAGGAATATCATCAAAGTCAGCTTTTTTTGAGGTACTTGTTTCTCTGATGCTTGAATTTCAGTATAGGTGTTTGAGTTATTACTCTTTGTACTTTCTGTAAAGGGGATTCAGAAGCATGATATTTCAACACTGGGCTGCAATTCCACCTTCAAAAATACATTGTACCTTCTCATAATTGAGAAATAAAACTGACCAAACCT